AAATTGCTCAATATCCAATATGCTGCTTCTTCTTTGGTTGCCCTTTGCAGCCAGACAACAACAATAGCACATATTTATTTAAAAAAAAAAAAAGAGATACAACTTTTTGGGTCAATTGGGGAAGCAACTCAGCGCAGTGAGAAACACAAATGAAATTAACAATAACAACAAACTTTTGTATGCTTACCAAATGCAGCGCTCACGTTTTCTCCGCTATTGTAACAACTGTTGCAACAACAATTTATTAAGCTGTTGGTTGTTTGACTGAAATGTTTCCTCTTCGTAGTGTTGCAATGCCTGGCATTATTGCCGCCACGGCAACTAGGTGCGCAACTTTGGAGCTGTTTGCGCTGTTGGTGCTGCAGTTGCACGAACAGCATCGTGCAACATGCTGTAGTTAACTGTTCTGCCGCATTACTGCAATTATATTGAGTAGATTTCGAAGTTTTTGCTCTCTACTTTGGCATTGCAGCCGGATTTATGACTTGTGGCAACTGAAAATTGAAAAACTGAAAATTAATTGAAAATTCTTGCTCGGTTTTTTTTATATTAAGATTAGAAGAATTTCATAAGTAGTTTAAGAAGTTGCAGCTAATACTGGCGGCAGTTAAAAAATAAAATAAAATTTGCGCGTAAAAACATGGCTTGCAAGTCAGCGCGCACGTAGCCAATTTTAATTGTACCGCCAAGTTGATGGCACAAGTGTAGAAACAGTCTCTATGAAGATGCAAATGAGCGCATACATACTTAAGCGCACACAAACATACACATTTGCATAGATAAATACTAGCAATTATTATTTTTTACACGCCAGTCAGTTTCCCTTTAAGTAATTAGCAATTATGCTAGCAGCCAGCAAGTTCGTTGCTTAAGTCTTTTGTCTATGTAGATGCCTGGCATGCTTGTTGTAAGCAATTTCTTATATACTCATATAAATATGTATTTAAGAAGTCATTTGCAACTGGTTTATACGAATTCATCAGTTTCAATCGCCTTGACCTACATCAACGTAGATTATTGTGTGCAGATAATAGCAGATAAATATCGTAAGAAGTACAGGCAATAAAAGTGGCAGCGTAAGAAGCTTAAAATTGCACAGAAATCAAATGATGCGCCAATAATGATGAATCCGATGTATCAGTTACGTATAAATCGTTAATGTGGTAATTACATGGCAATTTAATGCCAACAGCGGCAACAATAAGAAATACATGCAACGCACATGTATGGTGTATGTTTAGCGCTGAAGGTGAATATTAACATATAACTGTATAATTAATTGATTGGGGTTTGGGTGGCCGAAGTTTAAGCTATAATTTGCTGTTAAACAAAATAGGTTAAATAAAGCTGGTTTATTGAGCAGATTGTGAGGAAATTCAGCAGTTAAAAACATAGAAATAGCTACCATATGAAAGCCGCAAATATGAGCCATAAGTTAAACTACTTTTTGATGAAAATACTTCCGCTTTACCGAACAAAAGCTTTCAAAAGCATTTCCTTCATTGTTTACACTCTCAAATTTCACACCAATCTTTATTTATTTTTTTCCAATGAGATTGCAACAGCTTGCATTTATTGAATTTGTCTGACGCTGTGAAAAATGGTAATTTTCTAATAAAAACCTTCTTTTTACTTGCAATGACAATGATGGGGAAATAAAATGCGGCAAGCGTGGTTTAATGTCAATAATTAAAACAAAAACTCACAACGACTGCATAATAGAAAGTCAAGATTGCATACTTTGTTTGATATTTTCCTTTCACTAGCTTTATTTGAAAATTTTAGTTTTCCAGCACCGTTTCCGCAATTTATTCATTCAATAGCACCATGAGTAATAGAAGAAACAAAATTTTATTTAAATTGCAGTTAAAAAGTTTGATTGCTGTGAACTATGCAGCTGTTAGTGATGGGTTTGATATAAAAGTTGAATTAACCGAAAGTAAATTGCACCAAACTGCAGTCATTTTGTAGATATATCAGGAAAAAACAAAAAAAAAAACCTTAGCTTTGGTTACACCTATATACTCTTCACAGCTACATTTATTATAGTATATAAGGGTATAAAAATATATGTAACTTGATTTTGAACAGTCAGTTTGTATGACAGCTATATACTATAGTAGTTCGATCTGAACAATATGTTCGTTGTTTGTAGCGTTGTCGTAAACAAGCATCTATGCTAAATTTCGTGAAAATATCTCGTCAAATACAAAAGTGTTCCATATAAGCACTTGATTTTGAACGGTCAGTTTGTATGACAGCTATATACTATAGTACTGCGATATCGGTATTTCCGACAAAGGAGCTGCTTTTTGGGGAGAAAAGGACGTGTACAAAATTTCAAAACGATATGTTCAAAATTGAGTTACTAGTTTGATAAACTTAATATGCTCTGTGCAGGGTATAAAAAAATGTAATGTTATAAGCGGGCTCAACGTGTGGCATTTGTACTGAACTAAGTGTATTTCTGCTAAACATAGGTTCTAATAAGTAATTGGTACGTAATAAGTAGCAAGAACGCCTATAAAGTCCTTACAACATCATCCTTTCAACAATATTAGCTATTAGCCACAACAGCATTTCTATAACATATGCATATCACACTTCTGATTTTGTTGTTTGCTTGAATTAAAAATTTCGTACAATAAATGATATTTTACGCTGAAAATGTCTAGTAGATACGTACCGATTTGAACGAATTCTTTGACGATCCAATGTGGTAACACTCATACTTTGCTCTTGCTTCATATATTGGTCGAGATAAAACCTTATGTGAATGAGTCTTAAAATAAAAAATTGTAGAAAAAAATAAAATAAAATAGCAAAGTAAGTGAAAAATCCCAAGGCAGTTAACTACACTACTTTGTTTGAACAAGTTTTTGCACAATATTGCCGCTGCCGCAATGCACTGCCGACACTGTTATTTACACTTCATACAGCTGTTGTGAAGTCTCTATGCACTATTTGATGCTGCCTCAACTGTTGGTCGGTGAAATCATCAAAGTAATGACTTAGCCGCCTACTTACGACCAGCACACAGATATTTGCAATGCTTATTAGCATCGAGAAATAAATAATGTGAGCTGGAATTTTGCTTATTTTCTCTCGTCAACCTGCAGGTCGGCAGTATTTAGCAGTAGCAGCGGCAGCGAAGCATAACAAAGAAGGTGCAAGTTATTACCTGTAGACTGCTTTTTGTAGGAACGCTGATGTTTTATCTCTATTAGAGTTTGCTGTGGCAGCTTGTTGCGCAATAGCGGTCTAATAGTCGAGCACTATTCATGACTCAGCTTTTTGCCACCACATTGCTAAACGCTTGCCTTGTGTGTAGAGGCGCGACGGCAGTGCATAGTTGCAACAGTGGCATAGCGGGTTTTGGGTGGCACAAAAGGGCTTATGGCATGGGGTTGTGCCAGTGTCGGCTTTACAAAAAGATATGGCAAGCGCAAATTATTTTGTTGCCTAAACCAGTTTTGCAAAATTTAGAAATAAAAATAAAATTAAAAACGAAAAAAATAAATTTAAAAATAAAAAATAAATTTTAAAATAAAAAATACATTTTAAATTAAAAATAAATTTTAAAATAAAAAATAAATTTTAAAATATAAAAATTTTATTTAAAAAAAATTTCATTTAAAGAAAAGATTTTAACTTTAATAAAAAAATTAAACAAAAATAAAACTGTTTTACTTACCCACAATTTTCTACTTGCTTGCAGGTCCCAAAGAATTCTCCTACCGCGGTCGCAACATGTTCCTGAGCAGCCACGTGCCAGCGCTTGCCAACAAAAAAGTCGATTGGTTGGATGGCCGTAACTTGTGCCGTGAATACTGCATGGACTTGGTCGCTTTGGAGACCCAAGAGAAAAACAATCTGATCTTCCGTGTCATTCAACAGAATGATGTGCCTTACATTTGGACTGCTGGTCGTATCTGCGATTTTGCTGGTTGTGAAAATCGTCCCGATTTGGAACCCAAGAACGTTTACGGTTGGTTCTGGTCTGCAACACGTGAGAAGATTCAAGCCACCAACCGCATTCCACAAGGTTGGGGCTACAATCCATGGTCACAAACCGGACACAAGAAGCGTCCACAACCAGACAATGCTGAATACGACATTAACCAGACAAAGGAACAATGCTTGTCGGTGTTGAACAACGTTTACAATGATGGTATTGCATGGCACGATGTTGCTTGCTATCACGAGAAACCTGTCATCTGTGAGGATAACGATGAATTGCTGCGCTATGTAGCGGCCACAAATCCAGGCATTCGTCTTTAAGATGTTGACAAGTTGTAGCACGAGTTGTCTTTAACGACACTGTGTTGCTGTGCAGTTTTGCTGCATCGTTTCTGCATTGCCTGTCTGTGTGTGTTTTTAATTAATTTTATATTTTTTTATTTTGTTTTTCTTTTTTATGAATTTTTGTTTTTAATTTTATTTGTAAAGAATGGTTAAAAAAAAAAATGCAAATAATAGACTTTAGAATTTATTACTGCGTGCATTCTTGTGGCGAAGTGGGAAAAATGTAAACATATGTATATTTTATAACAAAAAATCACCTTGACATTTAGAGGCAGCTTAATTGCAAATTTCGGTACAGCTATGGGTCAATGAAGCCAATTAAATTTTGGAAAACTCAATTTTTTTATACTCTACTGCCAGTCTATTTCATAAGCAGTTATTTCCCCTTTAAAATATTTATACGTTTTTAAATTCATTTTCACAAGTTTCTCTAATAATCTGCAACGAATGACGAAAAAAATATTAAAAATTAAAAAAAAAACAATAAAAGTTTAATAAAAAAAATAATTATGGTGTATTACTAATAATTTCTAATGGATTTTGAATAGAAGTAAGTAAGTTGGCACGATTTATAGAATTTCTATACTTAAAAATCGTGTTTGTATGTATGTGGCTACTCTTTCGCATTCTAAAACGGTTAATATGGTACATTATATAGAGTATATATGTACATATTATAGAAGATATATGGTATATTTATTTGTACTTATTATGAAATATTTTTGTATTTTTTATTTATTTTAATAATTATAAAATTATAAAATCTTTAGTTTCAAACTCCTAAAAGTACGCAACAAATTTTTTAGGACTACATTTTGAAAATTTCTAGAATTTTACTTCACTGCATTATATTAAGTCGAAATTTAACAATGCACTTTATAACTACAATGCAGCCAGGACAAAGCATCTAGTTGGGAGCCAAGTTATTGCCGTTCAGTGCACACATTTCAGCTCCAAATCCTTACTATACCGGATACAATTTTTGCTGTCATTGTTTTTGTATTTATAAATATTGCTGTCATCAGCTACTAGGTCCTTGTTATTAGCTAAATAATGAATATTATGGTGCTGAGCTATGTTCTTTCCGCTTTTTTTGAATTACTTGTTAAGAAATGAAAAAATAGACAAAAAACGTTTAGCACATTTTATTAAAAAATAAAAAAGGTGTACCTTTTATCCCTTGTCCTTGATTGGCTTCGGCTTTCATATTTGTTTAATTTGTTTTTAAGGCCTTTTACAGGTGATCGTCTATGTTTACTACTGTCACCGGTTGAACACGACGACGAAGATCGTGAATATTTGCTTTTTTGCTTAGTTTGGCTTTTACCACGGCGTACAGCGTCACTGTCCACGCTGTCGGAACTGTGCTCGCGCTTCTGTTTATGCTTCTTATGCGCTTTATGGCGTTCATGTTTATGTTTATGTTTTTTTCGCTTATGCCTTTTATTATTATCGTTATGACTATTGCCACTAGTTGGCTCAACATTCATGTGATCGATATGTTTAACTTCTGTCTTATTAATCTCCAACTCATCTCTCGCTGCAGATACCTCCATTTCAGGACTTTCGGACCAACGCCAATTGCGCGAACTGTGTTTCACATCGCTTGCTGTCACCGCATTCCAACTGCAAAATGTGCTAAATACTTTAACAATGCTTTGAGTTAAAATTTTTACAAAATACCTTAGCAGCGGTGTGGCCATAGAGGCCTTAATACTAGGTGTTCTATTAATAACCATTGGTGTGTTGTACTTATTGCCTGGATTACTAAACAAATGTAAATAATGGCATTTGTTGCCTTTGAGGCATTTACGCGAATGTGATAAACCTTTTGTTTTTAAGAAAAAAATAGTGTTAAGGAAAAATGAGTAATATAAGCGTGTATGTATAAAAATGTATGTATAAGCATGTTGCATAACAAAAATATTTGCATAATGAAACATTCGGTAATTTTTCTTTGCAAAAGGATACCATCCTAACATGACGGCTTAAGCTGTATTGCTTCACGTACCGCAAATTGCACTACGCCACGTCTGTATGTTTGCAAATTCAACATTTAATTGTTTTCCAGCATAATAACGTCCTTGTAGCCTTATAAAAGCCTTTAGAGCAGATCTTTTTATGAAAAAATAAAATAAAATATTAAATTAATAAATAACATTGTCATAAGACTCACCTTTCCTCTATATACTCGACAAAGACATGACCTCGCAAGTTCCGCAGTGTATTTCGTATTGCCCGAAAATTTTGTATATAGCCGAACGCTTCGAATTCCGGCACAACATCTTCAAAAAATTCATCGTAAGCTTCACATAAATCTTGTTCACTTAACTCCAGATTGCCATCTGCATTCGCATATTCCTGGTGTTCGTTTTCCTCTTCCAGTAGTGGATGCATAAAGAAGTGACGCACAACAATGATATTGGAGAGTAATGGTCGACGATGATTGTGAATGCATGTTGGTCCATAACGGCAACAATTTGTGCGTTCATATAAGGCGCATAATTTCTGTCCGGGTCGTGATTCTACCACACGACGCAGTTCTGCGGGGGGCTCACCTTCATCATTGAGAAATGTTTCCATACACTGCAACATTTGCTCAAATTCAGCAGCAGCGGCAGCTTCACGTTTTTCGCGTTCATCACGTCGCCGTTGCTCCTCTGCTAACTTAGCTATCAACTCCTTTTCTTGCTGTGCACGTATAGCGTTTGCAGCGGCCTCCGCTGCTGCATGTTGCTGCTGTTTTAGGCGGAACTGGCGATGAGCTAATAGGTCGCGCCTGAGCCAAGCTTCTTCCTCTGCGTCGTGCAGTATTTCAATTTTACGTAATTTCTGCTCTTCAAGGAGCGCTTGCTGTTGTAAAAATTGTTGATGGGAGGGATCTTTGAGTTTCCTTGCTTCTTCTATGTAATAAATACGGTTTATTTAAATTACGTTCATTAGAAATAAATTTCTCTTTGCATGTACCTTCTTCCAATAGTTGATCGCGTTTTTGGGCAGCATTTTGCCTTTTTTGTTTTCGTTGCTGCTTTTTCAATTCCTTTCGCCACGGTCTCCTAAATAAATGTTAATTTAGTGAAAGTTTATGCGTATTTCATTAATTAACTTAAAAGTGCAAAATGAAATTTACCTTTTACCCGGCATTTTTGTAAATAATCTTTATAGATGAGTCCTCACAGCTGTCAAAGTCAGCTGACTTATAATTATTGCATGCTTCAACACATAGATGGCGCCCACAAACAGTAAGATGAATAAAAATGGACGGTTGGACACAGTTGCCTACTTTTGCTTAAAAAACCTAAATTTAGTGCGTTTTGAAAATTGAAACGCCAAAAAATTGGTTTAGTGCTTCTTCAGTGTTTATCCCTATTAAGAACGTATTTAGACGCTATATCTCCTTGCAAGTCACTTTTATAAAATTGTATGTACAGAAGTAATCGTCGATTCACCTTGTTTTTTTTGAAAAAGTGTGTCTGGTGGTACGGAAAATGTTTCTGTTTAAAATTATCTCACATCCAAAAACCAAAATAAGATCATTGCCGATGTCAATGACCCCTTTGTTTACACTTCCTTAGGACAATGACCTTTAGCTTACATTTTACGAGGCCAATGACCTTTTTGTTTACATTTCGCCAAGTTAACAACCTTTGTTTACATTTAGGATCAATAACCCTTTTGTTTACATTTTATATGGTTAAATGCCCCTTAATAAATTGTTCAGATCGGACTGCTATAGCAAATAGTTGTCATAAAAAAAAAAAATAATAATCGGACGGTGCAATATTTGGGGAATGTAGCGGGTGGGGTAAGACTTCCCTTTGAAGAGTTTCTAGGTAGGTTTTAATATGAGGTTGAGCGTTGTCATGCAGCAGAATCACATTTTGCCAGCGCTTTGAAATGGCTTGGAGGGTGACTCTCAATGCTGAAGCAAGCTCTTATTGCGAGTAAATTCACCGTCTTCGAAGGTTTTTGGCCTTCCTTCACGCGGAAGGTCGTTAATTGGCCTGAGTCTGAGCCTAAATTTCGTACAGATAATAAATGGATTAAACTAATAAGTAATTAAAATAGTACAGTAGTAAATCAGTAAAAAGCATTAAACAAAATGTTAATACAATATATATTGATATTTAGTTATGATTTTAAATGTAGTTATTAGAAATGTTTAAAGGCTATTCACTAGTTACGAGCGACTAAAATTTTGTGAAGTTAAACTTTTGGATTTGCACTTGATATGTATGTTTTTTTTACGTTTACAAATTTTTATAAATAAAAACAGAAACACAAATAAACTTGATTGTTTAAAAAAATTATTGTGTCTTTTGCCTATGTAGTTTTAGCCTGTTTTGGTGTTTTTTTTAATTTCAGAAGTTGGCAACCAACTATTGCCAATGAAGTGCCAAAATTTAGTGTAGTTGTGAAAATTTAAATTTTACGGTATCAATTAATTATCAATTGTTACGTTAAAAATAATGTCAGGCTAAAAATATATTGCTGCTATTTATGGTTAAATGGTGTGTATTTAATTCTATACAGGTGGTTAATAAATGGAGTATATTCACTTCAAATAAAATACGTTGCTTGAACCATTTAGAATACAAAAAAAAAATGCATTCGTTGACAATTAAAGCAAATTTTATTATTTTAAAATAAATTGCAAATTATATAGTTAATTAGAATATGCGAGCAAGTGTTGTGCTGACAAATTCGCATATATAAATATAATTAATGTTTACAGTTAGGTATATTAAAAATTCAATATTGTTTACACATATCGATTTGTACATTATTTGATATCTACTTTAGGCACATTATATTATCCTGAAGCTAAAACTGTTCCGGATGACGAGTTTAAACGGTCCCAGTGGGACGGATTATAGCGAAATTGTATAAGAATTATAAGGTAGCAAGTGGCAGCACCACATATCTACAGGTGAAAAGAATATACATTTGATATTAATTCGTATATTCAACTTCAGTTCTACTCACCGTAAATATTAAGGTACGATCCAAATTAAAGAGACCGGCGGCTGTGAAAACAACACGTCGATGTGACAATTGCAACGACAAAGGCAATAGACGATCATGCACGGCCGATTCATCAGATATGTTTAGTATTTTATGCACAATAGCTGCTGTTTTATTGCTTTCCTTAATGGTTTTGCTGCTACCCTCTACAATTAACAATATTATGACCACATACCACAACATTTGCGTTATGAAAAAGGCGAAGAATTCATCGGCTTCAAATTTGTCAACCCGACTAGGCGTAATGACCGCTTCTAATATGTAAAAGTCATCAAATAGAATAAATAGAAATGAAATAGCGATAATAGATAGCATTGGATAATTAAAATAATCCTCGATTGTGCAACAAATGTCACAAAGTAGATTATGCACATTGCTGACTTGTTTGAGCGCTGCTTCAGGATTGCGACGTACTAGGGAAGTGACGCTATATCGTGGACGTGGCGTAGCTATTGGTTGAATAACCGATGACGCATGCCGTGATGGTATATTATTGAAACTATGTAGGTGTATTACTGAGTGCATTGGTGAGAGCTCAACTGCACCGCGCTCCTCAATACAAGAGTCGAGTATATCCTGTAGTATCTTTAAGGTTAATAGATATATAAATTTAATATGTTAAATATATGTAGAGATAAAGTGTGTTTATATAAAACAGTTATGTACCTCATTCATCATTCTAAAACGCGTACGTGTCAGATGTGTGGTACATAGAAACTTAAAAACCATAATGCTGATATTTAAATGTGGCAAGGCAAACGTGGTAAAAACTACAAATGATGGCCATATCTCTGCCGAGCGCAATAACATATAACTGACCAATAAATAAACAAAGTTGAACAGCAATAATCCTAACGAAGTAACAAATGAGTACATCAGTATTTTGCGATAATCGAGCTTCAGCCCCAAACGCAAAAATATATCATCAACCACTAAACAGTTTTGTATGATTGTGAGCAGTAAATTACGCTGTAAGTATACACGATTATACATTTATAGCAATAAAATCTGTTAGACAAAGTTTTTTTTTTAATTTCTTTTACCTTAAAGAAAATTGAGCTAAAAATCATCAACATTGCTATTATGCCACTTAAAGAGAGTGTTGCATCGCCCAAACGCGTTACGCTAGTCTGGAAGAAGTAGCTAATGATGGAGTCTCCTTCGCATAGCGATAGAAAAAAACACAGCACATAAAAGAGGAAGTGCAAAATGCCAGCAGCAAGTGAAAAGGCAGAAGTGCGCACTTCCTTACTAACACTCAAGCGAAATGGTGCCAAACCGATTAGGGATATATATGCTAACGGTCGAAGTGATTGTAAAATGCTATCCGATTGCGTTAAACGTTTTAAAAACTGCCATGCCATTATGAAAGCGCACTATATTATTAAACGTTGCTTTAGTATGAACGCACAGTTGAGTATATATATGTATATGTATATGTATGTATATACTCCGTATTCGTATCGCACGCCCAAATAACCACCTTTTATAGGTCAATGTCAACCGGAAGACAATAGGTAAATGCTTTGTATACGTCCGTAAGCGTCGCGCACTTGTTGATTACTGTCGCGAAATTCCGTATTGTCACTGAAATAGTTCCGAGTTTCTTGGCATGTCCTTTGAGTTGAATTGTATAAATAGTGTATAAAGATATTGTTGTATTGACGCGTCACTGATGAACTTTCGGTTGCTCGGAGGTGTGTAGGAGTGCCGCGCTGACTTTCAATACGACAAATATGGTTAGTGTATGGTGGCGGTAAAGAGAGTTTACATGCCATAACGCGTTAAGAGGACATTACCCGTAATCGGAGTAATTGATGTAATTAGCTACAATTGCTATCAATATATCAAATAAGTAGTGAATTGTGACACAATTTGCACCAACCAAATTAATGAAGGATACTCTTACTTAAATACAAACATTCAGGTAAGTAGACTTAGAATTGAATAGTTATTATTATTTTTATATTTAACATTTTATTTAAAAATATGCCTTATATACATATATTACATTATTACACCCAGAAGGAAACGTCGGAGACTCTATAAAAATATATATATAAATGAACAGTTGAGTCGGTTTAGCCATGTGCGTCTGTTTTTCTTATAATATATGCGAACTAGTCTCTCAGTTTTTGAGATATCGATCTGAAATTTTGTACACTTATCTCCCCTGAACGCTGCTCATTTGTCGGAATCGGCTATATCGGACCACTATGGCATATAGCTGCCATACAACTGGCCGATGGAAATCAACGTTTTATATGGAAACATTTTTTATTTGACAAGATAACTCACCGAAATTAGGTATACCGAGTAAGCAGGATGAATTTTTACATAAGTACATATATATACATACTCCGGAGCACATATTGCTTGATCGCGTACCGCCTAATATAATACTCATCAGATCTACATATTCTAACTAGGAGCGTGTTGCCGCTCTGGTCCCAAGCAAATCCTTGCAGAGGAAACAATTTCCACTCTAATAAAATTCTAGTAAGAAGTAAAAAATCTAGTTCTGATAAAATGCAATGTTTTAGCTTCTTTATTAATTATTATGACATGAAGTGTACTTGCAATCAAACCTACATACATACATATATGTTCACAAATGTTTTTGTTTCGTAAAAATGTTTCAATACAAATGCACTATAAATTCATTACATATAAAACAATTAATTTATGCTTAACATACATACATGTTAAACAATTAAAATCTGCACTGAGATATAACAAAGTATCTATGGTAAATGCTTGCATAAAAATATATAACTCATCAGTTCGCTTGCAATTTTTTGCATCTCAATCGTTCGTATACCTACCTAAGTTTCTGAATATATTTTCATAAAATTCATACATACTTATAAAATCGTGTTACACAAATCTCAGGCATTAAATACACAAGATATAAATAAATAACATACATACACACATATATATATCTAGTAAAATTTTACAATACATTGCTATGAGTATTTGAAAAATGCTTTAAATATCAATAAAACGTCTGCATTATCCACCAGCTGTCAAATTTGAAACTAGATTCCTTAGTGGCGTTGAGCTGTTCTCTTCTATCGGCGTGAACGGTTGTTCGGGTGCGTTAGAATTCGTGAATTGTAGAAGTATAATTAGGTAGGTGGTGAGTGCGCCACTTATCTGTAAGTTAAGATAAGTTATATATGTTTATTTGATCGATTTTGTAAGGATATGAGGATAATGAAAATAAACTTTTTTTTTTTATTTTTAATTTTTCAAATAAAAGCTGTTTGAGCGCCGCATTAGGGTGAGTACATTTATTTTTCTTTGCAAATTTGCTATAAAATTATTTCTAAACCACGAAAAAAAATGTATCTATTAAAACAAGAAAAAACGTTAACTTCGGCTGCACCGAAATTACAATACCCTTCACAGATGCATTTCAAATGACATCTACATGTATACACCCAACGGTTGTAAAATAAGGTTATGTAATAAGGAAAAATTAACTTTAACGGTTATCTAGATATTGTCTAGATTTTGATGGGTCAGTTAGCTATATGCTGTAGTTGTCCAATCTGAACAATATGTTCGCAGATTGTAGCGTTGCTTTGGACAATAATTCATGCAAAATTTCGTGAAGATATCTTAACTTAATGCAGATGTTTTCTATATAAAGACTTAATTTCGATGTGTCAGCTTGTATGGCAGCTATCTGCTATAGAGGTCCGATCTGAACAGTTTGTTTGGAGAATGTAGAGTTGCTTTGAACAATACTAGAACTTGATTTTGATCGGTCAATTTGTATGGCGCCTATATGTTATAGTGGTCCGATATCGGCGGTTTCGACAGATGAGCAAATTTTTGGAGAGAAAAGGACGTGTGCTAAATTTCAGATCGGTATCTCAAAAACTGAGCGATTAGTTCGCGTATATACAAACAGACGGACTAATGGATATGACTATATCGACTCTGCTCGTCACGCTGATCATTTTATATACATATCTATATTCAGGGCTTGCGATGTTTCCTATTGTGTGTTACAAACTTCGTGGCAAACTTAATATACCCTGTTTAGGGTATAAAGTTATGCTAATATAATATATGTTATGATAGACCTATTTTTAAAGTCAAAATAGTCTTTTACTTCAATACAAGTATCTCGAAGTTTGGGGTCCAGCGGACGTTATGAAATCTATCTATATCGTATTTTTCATAGCAAGTGCGTGTATTTAAAAAGTAATATTATTCTTCAATACCTCGTTTAATTTTTTTGACCTACCGTAAAATAAAGTGTACGATCGATGTTGAAGAGTCCAGCGGCGGTGAAGTGTATTTTCAAATGTAACAATTGTAAAGAAAACTGCTGTAGTTTTTCCTTTAATTCAGCATTTTTTGCCTTATTGAGTAGTGAGTGCACAATGCCACCGGTTTTTTCGCTCTGCAAAAGCAAAAAGTAATCACTTTTTTGCTCCTCAAATACTATTATTATTACTACCAACCTTTTGGATAGCCCGATTACTGCCCTCCACAATGGATATGATCGCAATGAGATACAAAATCATTTGACATGAAAAGAAAGTCACAAATTCCACAGTCTTGAATTTGCTTTCGTGCGCTGATTTGCCTAACAATGTCTCGAGCACATAATAGGCATCAAAAACGATGATCAGAAATGCAATCGAAATGATTGTTAGTAGTTGATAAGTAAAATATTTATTTGCTGTTGATGCGGCATCGCAAATCATGTGATGTATTTCCATAGATTCCTGTATAATCTCGCAGGGATTATTTGTGACAATGGTGTACATGGAGAAAGAGTCCAGACATTGTAGTGAGCGTTGCTTGGGCATAGGTTTGACAATGCTATTGTCCCATTGATGTGCGAGATTCTTTAAAACCTGCAAGGGAAGGAAACTGAGTTAAAGCTGGAGAATATACAATAATACACAAAGTTGAGGTTATGTCAGTTCTACATTTCATTCATTCTGCGATGCGCAAACAGACGCGCTTCGTTAAAACCAATAAAAAATTTGAGAGTTGTGGCTAAATTAGACTGATTAGCTCAAATTCATAAGCATCTGATGACCATAATTTATGTAACATTAGGTAAAGAACAAGAATCTCGAATGTCTGGATGATTTCAAGCGCCTTGATGACTCAAATTTGAAATCGTGAAAGTCCTAATAGATCGCCTTCTCTAAGACCTCTATTTATTCTTATTATTGTCGTTTACAATTCGTATTATACGTATTATTACTATTATTGTCGAAGCAATCCGTATCGGTTCGGTTAAGTGTGTAGATCCGACTGTTTCATGTCTATATATTGTATGTATATTCTTATGACAGTCGCCACTTACCAGAACTACTAGTATTTTACTAAACCTCGAACCATAGCTTGGAATATAATATGTGGTCTTTTCAGATGGGTCCCCATGTTCTATAGTTATATATGTTTTATATACGAAAAGCCCATTAGCTCTAGGTTGAATCCCTATCATCCAAAATAACAATCCTTTCGGTTTAATCTTCGTTCGTTTTTTCGGCTTACAATTTTTGAATTTTTTTTTTACTTTTCACGTCTCTCAACTGTTGATATATTGTTTGGATGAAAATAGAGGTGTGCATTACGATCTTTGGTCGAATGCATCTTATATTGGATGCGTCAACCCCATAAATTTGCTCCCACCTCTTGCAATTTCTCAGCATTCAATGAGAAGATTATCCGCTGTCTCCACGGCGAGTTCGCAGAGCCGAAAGTTTTATGTCGAAGAAACTTCCATTTTGTACTCAATCTATCTGCCTCAGTCTAACGTTCTGTAGTTCAAAACCACTCAAAAGCATATAGTAAACTTAATAAAAAGAAAAAAAATTCTAGGTTTTTTCATTCATTACTTGTATAGCTCATGTAATTCTCAACCCGCTTTAGCACAAATACTCAACTTGATTCAAGGCGCGAAAATATTGCGTCAGCTTGTAAACTATAGCATAAAACATTTGTACTAAGCCACAAACGAGCAAGTGCGGCGCATAGAATGTCACCGCTGATGGAAGGGATAAATATATGTTATTTCGTGCCAATATAACGAACATACTCAGTTGAAAGTAAAAAATAGTTAAGGCAAATAAAGCCAAAGCAAATCGATTCGTATGCGTTGCCACATATTTCTGCGTAAACGACACGCCCACATTGAAAAAACGCTCCTCGATTTTATGCATACGCTTAACGAGCGTACACAGTCTCTTGCGTTGCACGAAGCAAATGCTTACCGCGATCACATTACCGAAGACGCCATTGAATTTTTGCATTGATTCCGTAAAATGCGAAACATTCGTTGTGAAAAAATAATCGATGACCGTGTGTTGGTGCAAAATACTATACATGATATTGACGTGCAGAAAGATGAAACGCGTCGCCATGCTGAAATAACCGAAGGCCGAAGCACACAAAACATGTCTTCGCGTTTTCGGCGATATGGTAATATGATATGGCGTTAGGCCGTAGCAGTGTGCGAATATGAAAACCAAACGTAAACTCGCGTAAATATTTGCAGGATTTCGAAAGTCACGTCTCAAATTGCGCAAACCGTTCAAAAACCGTTGAAACATTTCCGTCTTGTGTTGTAAAAGTATGCGAAGCCGTCAGCGTAGTACTTATGACTATAATTGTGCTATCCTTGCAAATGTGCATGCAGACATTTAGGGTTGATAAGAACGGAGCACAATTAAAAAGGGAATAGAAATTAATTTACTTTAATAATTCATAAATATAAATAGGGGAGGACAGTGTTCGCACCGATAAAAAAAAATAGTTGCTCTGATTCAGAAAACAAAAGAATCAACTGTCAAAACGATGTAGAATTCGTATGTAGTTTTCCTATCCAAAGTCTTCGGCGTTGGGCTCACTCACCACGCAAAGCAAAACCTCATTAACTTACTCCAAATTATTTACCTATAATATTTCTTACGAGCTTATTGTTATTTCTTCGAGACATGCCTTAGCCATTGAGTGTTTGTGGAATTTTTAGAAAATCTTTATCATTTCAAAAAATTTAACTGACTGGGAAACGCTAGTCCGTTTAGGTCTATGTTCGTTATGACATTTGTGAGTTTATGGTTGAATATTATAAATATCCGTTATTTGAACAAAGTTATGGTACCCTGGTATGAATGCCTACGATAAGTTCATCTAATGGTTATTGGTATGCAATTTAATCTTTGCTTTGATATTAATGTCATATTTTGCTATCTTCGATATTCACATTTGTAAGCAACAAAAAAAATATAGTGAAAAAATTAATTAATTAATTAAACTGTACATTTCAAGCATAGAAGGGGAAGAGTCTCACTATACACGCACATTATCACAAAGTTCGACGTTTGGTGTCTCACCTTGTTAATTAAACCGAAGTGCTGCTGCAAACGGAACAGAAACGTAGAAAACAACACAACAACACTTAATAAGAAGACATGCGGCATAAAGAATGTAATCATCGCTTGGAATGTCGGCCAAATATCATTATGAAAGAGCATCCAAAAGCAACTGGACATGTACGAAATATTCAAAGTGATCACCAAGAACATTTTCAAGTGTGTCAATTTCATAATATATTGATAATTGAATACCACACCGAGATTGTGAAAACGTCGATCCACCGTCACGATGGTATTACACAACGAAACTATAACACGACATTCACTCAAACTAATGCCGAACAGCGTCAACATGCCCAACAGGCCGATGAATTTCTGTAATGTGTCGCCGATTTGTGAAATCTCCGATTTGAAGAAGAAGCCCACAATGGATGCCTGCTCGGCCAGCGAATGTATGAAACAGTACATGAAGAAGATCACTTGCAGCAACGTATTCATATAGCCCAGCTGGCTGATGTGCAATGTGCGCTGTTGACCGCTATCGGTCGCCTGTAGACGAAATGGCGTTAAGCCGAGCACAAAGTTAAACCAGATTAGTGTTTGTGCAGCGCCAAGAGCATCACTCGGGCTGAAGAGTTCTTTCCAGAAGCGCATGGCGGTCGTAAAGTGAGCGATTTAATTTCTTTTGCGGCCACTAAACCGTTACGATTCACTGTTTGCGGTATTTATACTGTGGCAGTACTTTGTGTGCAAGTGAATGGCATCTGAGTGCTTTAAAATTTATAGAGTAACATGATTGACGGCCTTTAAACTATTTAACGGTTATTAATTTATATGTATGAGTGCGAGGAGAGAAAAAGGTAATGAACAATTGCCTTTCTAGGAATTTTTATTTGCTTTGGAATTGAGGGAACGTTGTTAATGAGTTTGAGTAGAATCTTCACTCTGTTAACTGATTCTAACTTTCCAAAAACTTCGTTTTGAAAAATTATATACCAGAAAAAGCGGTTCAGATAACCCTCTTCCCACTTGTGGTTTTCAAAAAATCGATTTTTTTTCGAATATGTATATTTGTAAGAATTTTTTAAGTTAGTGTTATCGGCTCCCAAAACTTTAAACGCGTTTTGCTTGACACGAGTCGGTGAAGTAAATTTCTGCGAAATAGCTGGACTGAACGACTTGAAATTTACACGACCTTGTTAGATATACAAGTATTTGTCGGCTAATGATCGAAGGAATAAGATTCTTGTTAGCACTTTTTGAAGCCACCCGCAAGTGTAAATGTTTTCACAAAAAACGACTTTGTCAAAAATATAATTTTTGACTAGTTATTATATATGAAGATAGGTTTCCACTTGACTAATATTTATCCATAGTAAAAATTTTTTTTTTGTTCTTTGATTTGAGATAATTTTAAGCAGAAAAATATTCTTCACCGTCAAACCTTTTTTTTTTGGAGGTTTTTCTGGAGATTGGCAACGGAGCGAATCCAATTTTTTTTCAAAATAAATCACCGATTATTAAAGTACATAAAGTTCTATAAATGTACATTATTTTCATATATTTATTAAATAAAATGTCTCTCCAAAAAACAAAAAAAAAAAAAAAAAAAAAACACGTTTTTTTTAATTGCAAGTGGATATAGCTACTTAAGTAATATCCTTTTATAGAGTTTTATACAAAAACTCAGCTTTTAAAGGTTCTCCTCCAAGAAACCATTTAATTTCTCAGTTGCGTAGTCAGTCTAATGCAGTGAGAGTGGTTCTTCATAGGACTCATATCTTAATTTTTTTTGGGTTGAAAACTGGTAACCTATGTAGTAAACGAGTATTTGCATTTAATAGTATTTTTACGATTTTCTATCAATCTATGATTGACTATATTAATCAATCTGCCATGACTGAGTATATTATATATTTAGCTTAACGCTCTCTCTCATTAGCGCCCTTAGACTGCGGTTGAAGTTTAGACGCTTACTTTAAAATCGAAAAATTTTGCCAAGTTTAATATGTTCCGACTTTTAGCTTGAATATTTTTAAAAATTATAAGCACCAAAACCGACTTCAACACACTAGGAGGAAATGAGTCTCTTAAAACTAGAAGAAAGTTGCACAACTGCTCATTGAATCAACCATTGTTGTACTCATTCTGTTCTTTACTTTTTGCATTGGCATTTCTGCTTATAGAATTGCTTAGCTGAAGTAGCAATAAATATAATGTTTTCTCCTATAATATTTTCATTATGCAAAAAGAGATATCTAGTATATTTATCTATAGTTTTATGACGCTTTTATTATGACTTCTCACTCCGCTGCATTAGGCTAATTGATTTTTTGCAATTTTTGTAATGCGATATTTATTGCTATAATATTTTCTTTCTCGACTTTCCTACCATTTACCTACTTAGTGGAAAAGTATTGGTAAAATGTGCATATTTATGGTTTAGAAGTAGGTTAAAATACTTAATTCCTTAGTGAAAAGCTTTTTCAAATGAAAATAGCACAGCATTTTAGGCTTTCTCACTG